AAAAAAAAAAAAAAAAAAAAAAAAAAAAAAGGTTAAAGTAACAATATGTACATAGGTAATGACAAATGTGGCAAATATTAATAGTTGATGAATCCATATAAAGAATGAGTCCTATGTATTAAAACATACCTTTTAAGTTTAAAATTACTTATTTCCCTTTCATTTCACTTTAGACAGTGTAAGAGTATAAGGTGGCACAGGGTAGAACTGAGTTACTAAGGCAAGGGAACTCTCATAGCTACAAAACTTCCTCTTAGGTAGCACCGCAGATCAGTGGTTAGGGCACCAGCCACACACACCAAAGATAGAGGGTTCAAACCCAGCCCAAGCTGCTAAAACAACAATGACAACTGCAACAACAACAACAACAACAAAATAGCCGGGCGTTGTGGCAGGTGCCTGTAGTCCCAGCTACTTGGGAGGCCGAGGCAAGAGAATCACTTAAGCCTAAGAGTTTGAGGTTGCTGTGAGCTGTGACACCACAGCACTCTACCCAGGGCAACAGCTTGAGACTCTGTCTCAAAAAAAAAACCTTCCACTTAAAATAAGCCCTCCTAAACAAAGTTAGAAATACAAGAAAAGAAAGAGAGAGAGAGAGAAAAGAAGAGGGAAGGCGGATCCCAAACCACTTGGGTTTGAAAGTACTTTAGTACTAGTCAGGTGTAAGCATCCCCTAAATTAGGTCAGATCAGCAGCTCAGTATCAATAAATAGCACCTATGTTCCTGTGAAATGAGCTGTGAGATCACATGAAAGCTGAGCTGCGACTCCTGCAACCACCTCTTCTACAAGCTAGGTATCAGTACCTAGTCCAAGACCTATAGGACAAAAGGAGAGAAGGAAAAAATCTCAGGCTGGATTTTCTCTCTTTTTCAAATATTACCCCTCTCCACCCAAGAGTGTTATCAAGGACAGGAGAATCAATCAATCCAGCTGCCAGGTCCAGACCATCCTTGCTGGGAGATCTGGGGGTACCCTGTCCCTAGCCTAGGTTAACAAGCAGTTTCAGAGTAGAGGCAGACAGTGAACAGCAGCACAGCATCCTAAAATACTAGATATTGCTTCCTATCGGAGAGATAAATTTCTTTTTTTTTTTTTTTTTT